CTAGGCAACCACCTAGTTTGCCTAAACGGTAGCACCAGCCCTGGCTGTCACTCGGGCCACCCAACACGCGTGTGCGATTTAGGGGCTAAGGGCCAGATTTCCAAACACCCCTCGGTGCCTCACCCTGGCGATCTCATGGGGAGCCAGGCGCCTCTGTTCGGAAATCCCAGCTGGCCCCGGTCTGCACTGTCAGGCGCTTAAATCCCTTTGTCACATGGCCCCGAGTCCCTGTCCCCATCCATATCTCTGCCCTCAGCTGATGAGGTGCCAGCGCTGGGCACAAGAACCTCAAAACAAGTTTTTCTTGTATAATGACAGCGTGCATCCCCCTCCCCCGCCCCGCCTCCTTCACACTCACAAGGGGCTGGGCCTTTTCCGGACCAAACATGCCAAAAAAAATCAACTCTCAGCCCAGAGCTGGAATGTTTCAGCCCAAAAAGGGAAGTCTGTGAGGGAGCTGGAAGCCAACGGGAAAGGCCCTGCAGAACGGAGATGCCCAGGTAGCCAGAACTGGCTAATAACCCGACTGCTCTAATAACCACCCATAGCTCTCGTCTAGCGCTTGTCATTGGTCAATCTCAACCGCTTTACAAAGGAGGTTGGTGTCATTATCCCCATTTCACAGATGGGGAAACTGAGGCACGGAGTGTGGGCGTGACTGGCCCGAGGTCACCCTGCAGGCCAGTGTCAGAGCTGGGACTAGAACTGAGGTGTCCCGAGTCCCAGCTCAGTGCACTAGCCATAGGCCAGTGTTTCTCAGTGACCGGTCCGTGGCAGCCTCGTTGCCTGGATTTCCCCGACACAGAATATTAATATGTAAAATGTAAAGGGGTTTTTCTGTACTTGCATTTGCCATCCCTGTATCCATTCAGTTATTGCTGAACGAGAAATACCCAGGACCCATTGTTCCATTTGCTCTCTCACGTGGTCCCTGGCGGCTCAGGAAGGCAGCAAGCCGGTCCCTGGTAGCACTGCACTAGGTAGCACTTGAGAAGCACTGCACTAGGCCACACCGCCCCTTCTGGACATGCCCACGTCCCATTGGAGTCCCTGTGCCCCCGTCACCCCCACCCCATGACAGATCCCCACTGCTCACTCACCCTGCCGCTCCAGCACCGCCCGCCCCCGCTGCAACAGGCGCCGCAGGAGGTCCAGGCACTCGGACTGCAAGAGCCACTGGACGTACTGAGTCCAGGTCTTGCCCGCCGTCTCCCAGCGCTGCTTCTCGGGGACAGCCAGCTGCACATCTGCAACCCACGTCCCCGTCTGGTTGTCAAAGCTGAGGAAATCCCTCCCATCGTAGGCGTACTGGAACCTCGGGTCCACGGGGGCCTGGCCGCTCAGCGCACAACCCACGTGAAGCTGCTCAGTGTGAATCCCTGTGGAGGAGGGAGAGAGCTGAGACCGTGCACTGAGAGCTGGGAAATGTGTCTGTAGGTGGGTGGGTCAGAAGGTCTGAACCTTTCTCAGTTCCACTTTTGGAGATGGGGCAACCAGACCTGCACGCAGTATTCAAGATGTGGGTGCACCACGGATTCATATAGAGGCATTATGATATTTTCTGTCTTATTTTCTATCCCTTTCCTAAAGGTTCCTGACATTCTGTAACCCTTGGGAAAGGCTGTTTCTGCAAAATTGTTATTTTCCGTGAGAAAATTTCAGTTTTGCCAGAAAACATTGATTTTCTGTTGAGGAAATTGAAAGGGAAGATCCCGGGGCTGCCCGGCTCCCTGCCTGGGATTCTCCTGAGATGGAATTTCTAAAAAATTTCCTTCCAATGGAAACCTCCCATTTCCGACTTCCCTTCCTATCGGGAATGAAAACACTTCGGGGAACAACAAATTTTCTGCGGGAAGAAAACTCCATTTTCCAGCCAGCTCTGGTTTGGGCAGCACCTGGCACAGCAAGGCCCCAATCCCCAGTGGGAGTGATTCTGAGCGGGCAGCTCTCGCGTGTCCATTAATAACAACAACTCTCAGACACTCACCGCCCGTCTGGTTGTGCAGCTGCATCCACCTCGTGGTGAGGACTTTCGAGTCCTCCTCGTGCCCCCAGAACTCCAGGGTCTTTTCCTGGAGATACTCAGCGCCCAGGGCCTGTTCTGCCCACTCCTGGGTGGTTCTGACCTCTCGCGTGTCGCTGCTGTAGTACAGGACCTCAACATCATCCACCTGGGCGATCATGAAGTAGTGATAGGTCCCGTCTTCGTGGGTGATGGTTGTGATGAGCACGGCCAGGCTGTGGCGCCCTAAAGCAACAGGAGCAAGGTTGAGTTAACAAGCGGCTTCTTCCCTTGCTCAGGGGACACCAGGGTAACTCCGTGGGGACCAGCAGAAACCTCCCACCCCCAGCCACGTCCCCCTGCCCTCAGCCCCATCCTGGGCGAGGGACAAGCTGGGACCTGTCAGTGACTCGCAATGCGCAGAGCCGAAGGGGAATCAGGTAGGACGATCTCTCAGCCCGTGCCTCTGAAAGCCAGGGGCTTGTTTAGAGGGATCAGACATTGGCAGGGGGGAGGGGAGGTTAACTGCCCCCTAAAAAACAGCCCCTCATGGTGAAATGCCCTGCGGATGGAAGGGGTGGATGTGCAAACTACCTACAGCGGAACCTGGGGGGTTTGTGGCCTGTGTGCCTGTCTGTGGTGTGCTTGGGGGCGGGGGGGGGTGTGTGCATGTGATGTCTGTACAGGTGGGGCAGTGGAGGTGTCGTGTGTGTGCAAGGCCCTTCGCCGTCAGTTTTTACTGATTTTTACAAAAAATTCCTGGGTTTGACAGAAGCCGTTATTTGGTGTTTACTCATTTTTTACCCCAATTTTGGCTCACTCAGGCACACGGAAATACTGATTGTGATAAGAGAATCCAACCCGTGACAGCCGGTTGATGTGTTTGTGTGAATAATAAATTAGTCTAAGTGTCACCGCGAGACTGCCTGTTAACGTGAGGCAATGGAGAGGAGGATACACACAGGGGCGGCTCCAGCACAACAAGCGTGTGCCGGGGGAGGCAAGCCGCGGGGGGCGACCTGCAGGTTGCTGTGAGGGCAGCAGTCAGGCAGCCTTCAGCAGCGTGCCTGCGGGAGGTCCGCCGGTCCCGCGGCTTCGGCGGCAATTCGGCAGCGGGCACGTTGAAGGCGCGGGACAGGCGGACCTCCCACAGCCGTGCCGCCAAAGGCCACCTGACTGCTGTGGGTTGCTTGGGGCGGCAAAAAACATAGAGCCGCCCCTGGATACACACCCACACACCCGTTACTGTGCAGTTCATGAAATAAACCACAGCATTAAACACCTTTGACTTTCCCTACTCAGACTCTTCCCTTTTTGTTACTTTTTTCCTGTCCCCCAGGTGTAACCCCAACTTATGTTTCCACCTTAGCTGAGCCTGGTGCCCCCCCATTCCTCTCCACCCCCGCAGCCGGGTTACTGCACAGCGGTGCCAGAGCCGGGATACCAGGGGTAACCGGAGCTCACCCGCTTCTCACTGGGAACATGGAGTTTCGCTGAGGTTAGGTGACCCACTGCTGTTTTTCCCACTACACCACTGCCCACAAGGGTCGCTGTGCTGGTCCCCCTCTGCACCAACTTACCCCTATGCAGGGCCGGTGCTACCATTAAGGCAAACTAGGCGGTTGCCTAGGGTGCCAAGATTTGGGGGCGCCAAAAAGC